TTTTTCTTTTTTAAAAATATATATATATATATATATATATATATATATATATATATATATATATATATATATATATATGGATGCATCATTAATATAAAAATGAATTTTATTTTGAAAATCTAAATTTTAAGTGTAAAAAATATCAGCTTTATATTTCTGTATAAATGTATTATTTACTAATGATAATTGTTCAAAGTTATTTAAGGAAATTAATCATTTACGATAATTGCTCATTCATTTTGGTGATTGTCTAATACATTTTGTGTAATTGATGTTTTGCCAATGTTTTTAATAATTACTAGAGACGATTATAAAATTTACAAAAGCCAAAAATTAGAATACGTCGAATACATTAAATCGCATTAAATTTTTAATGTAATTCTTATTTTGCTAAGCTTTTACTTTAATAATCCTTTAATAATCCAGTATTATTAAGGTTTTTTCGTTCTATTAATTTGCTACTTACGCTTTATTTAAGCAATATAAAATAATAACGAAAATTTAATTAAACTATCGGTTTAAAATTTTTAATTCAATGAAAATATTAAGATAAGAAAAATAACAAAAAATCATAGAATGTAGATGCACGTGCGCGCATATTTATAGTATGGACTTATAATATTTTATATGATGTATAACTTAAATGTACAAATGTGTATATATTTTAAGTGAAAGAAAAGCTTGGACATTTAAATACTTTAATAATGAACTGAGCATACAATTTATTTGTTAATTAAAGTTTAGAATATTTTTTTCTTCATCTAAAAATAAGAATACCTTATAGTTTAATAAATATATTATTTACAAACTAGGCGAAAGGTATGGCAATGGATTATAGATTTACAAATCGTTTACGATAATTATAATATTTGACAAACAATTATCTCAGTTACCATGTACACAAAGTAAATTTTAAGAAATATTAGTCGACGAAATATCGTTTTATTCATTTATCAAAGAAAACTATTTCTCATACCTCGTATTAACAAGAATTGTAGAATGTTGAAAACAAAAAAAAATACAAAAAAAAAAAAAAGAACAATGTAAATAGTTTTAACTTTAAAAGTTCAAATGCACATTGTTTAGTAACATGTACTATATTAGGGGATATTTTAATGATTAAAATAAAGCTGATATATTACGTAATGTTTCGGCTTTGTAAATATATATTTACGATACCTCACCGTCTCGCATCTTTATTATAAAAATAATGACACATTAGATTGTTACAAGTCGGCCATAGTCCCGATGAATAAAGTAAAGAAAGATACAAAATAGAAGGACAGCTAAATTTTTATATTATTTTTATTTTTTCATTATACTCTAAAAAAGGATATATTTCATTCCCATGTAGTCTCGGTAAAATAAGACAGAAGCTTCGTTGAATATACAATAGTAATTTTGTACCCGTAGTTTTGTAATTGAATGGAATCTTTTCTCGCTATCAATCATATCTATAAAAGCTACATAAATTTCTTAAATTATCATGGTTATTTATTAGATTTATTATTCAATTTATTAATTATAAATCATGCATACATAAATGTATGTATGTTACATGTAATTATCATAGTATAATAGATACCATTTTTTGTTAATTTAATTTAAACATAATGAAAATGCTAAGCTAATCGATAACAATTAACTTTTTAACAATAAATTTAAATAGATAAATAAATCATAATAAATCAATTTCGATACAGCCATATTCGTATATTGTAATTAGCGTACCGATAGATGAATGGAAAATAAAATAATATAAATATTTTATGAAACAAACAACCAAGGGAACTTGCGGTAACACTACAATGCTTTATTCGACATGTCTCGAACACTGCAATCAAAGCACACAATTACTAAGGTATTATTATGATTATAATTCTCAATATTATATCATAAGCTTGCAGATGATGTAGAAAACAGATTTTTTATAAATGAAAAATCAAAAGTTAACATTTTAGCCAAATATTAAAGTACATTTTTATATATTAATCGGTAAATAATTATATAAGAAATTAGCAATGACTTCGAAGAGTGTATAAATAATCATTAATTAACAATATTACTAAGATTCTATGACTTGTAATGTAAATTTTTATCATTAAACAATGAGAATTATTGAAAAATATCGAGCTTCTTATCTTCACTGAACTTTATTAACTTTAGAGAAGAGTCTTTGATAGATAACTTTAATTGTCCTACAATGCTGTGCTCAATGAACTTGGTAAGATCTCAACTTCCTGCAAAAGCTCAACAAATTTGTTCTTTAGCATAGTTCATTGTTCATCATTCATTGAATATCCCTTCATCAACATATAACGCTTCAATTTCTATCAAAACGAACTTGTAAAGCAATAAATGATAATTATTAATATGTTGACGATAATAACTAAATCTGAAATAATATAATATAATCTTGGGAAAGTAAATTGTATTTCGATACTTTTATATATCGGTGAAAAACTGTCGTCCTCTGGATCCTTCACGAACAAATAAATCAATCATCTGGATTACAAAAAAACTTTTCGTCGATTAGGTGAGAAAATAAAATAAGAGAAAGTGTTACCATTTCAATTTATTATATAAACATTAGCAATATTGTTGCGGCGTTTATCCCGAAGTACGAGAATTCAAAAAGTTAGAACTATTTCTCACAATTCTATAGAATTTAATATAATTACCTACATTAATTATATTAGTCGTTCGTATTGATTTTCTCTCCAAACAATTCACTAAACTTAATAAACACCAAGGCTGTTACAGTCTATAATCACTGTCTTTGTTGAAACCGACGGCTTATTAAAAAATAAATTTATTTACGAATACTTTTTAATTTTAATGTGATAATAATGAGATAATCATAATTAAAAATAAATTTAATAATTAAATTGGAGTTCAACATTATGAGAAAACGGATAAATAAAATTAAGTATTCTATGTTTTTATAATAAGATATATATTTTTTTAATCAGATAGTATAAGAAATTAATAACTAACATAATAATAAAATCTTTTCAAGCGAATTAAAGAATGTTGCTTTCTCACTTCTTTCACGTGATTGTTTGACCGCGTCATTTTAACTTTATACGAATTAAAATAATTCTATGATTAGTAGTTGAATTCGGCAATATTTTTTTTTTGCAAATATCGACAACGTCGTGAACAATTTAAGGATAATTAATTTTAATTAAATATACCTTAAATTATTATGAATAAAATCTCGTACGAATTAATACGGACGTTAATACAAGTAGAAAAATAAGGCTTAAGTCAGGCGTCATTTTTTTAACTATACAGAATTTTTTAAAATAATACTATACAAAAACTTTTTATAAAGCAGATAGTTTGTCAGTTTGGTCGAATTGAGCAAGACTTATTTTTACATTAATTCAATAAAATTTATTTGACATTAATGTTAATACGTCAAAATTATTTGTTAAATGCTTTGACTCGTTGTTTTAATGACAAATATTTCTTTCACCATTTTATCGATATTTAATTGCTGAAAAATCTGCCAAAAAACAATAACAACAAACTATAACATATTTTTTAATTCAATTATTCGAGAGGAAGATCTTTTATTTTTTTTTTTAATTTATATCAAATTAAGAATAATCAATGACTCGTTAATTGTCGAGGAAGAGGTAATCATAAGGGTATGTTTTCAATAATTATCTTTAAACATTGTTGGTTGTTTATTTTACAAGAAGAATTTTTATCAGATCTAATTGACGGGTAAACAATTAATCTTGGAAATATGGTTAAAAATAAAAGCATTAAAACTGTTAAAATTATTTGAATAAATATCTTAATAAATATACAACTTACATATTTATAAATAACATTATGAATACTTTACTAAAATTCTTGTTAAACATTTGGTCTCAGCTTAACCAGCATTTTCAGCTGTTTAATAAAATAATGTGCGCGAGTAAAATCTCGTGATGTAAGCATCGTAATTAGCCGTTTCATTTTGATTGATTTTGTTGTTGATTTTGTTGGATAATTTTTCCATTGTGAATAAGCTTAAAAAGCATCTAACTATCTTACTTTAACGCTTATCCGCTCCCTCCTCGGCGTAGACACGCGCGCATGTTCCGTGATGCTCTAGCGCCAGCAATGACGATGGTGATAATTTCTTTCGGAAGTTGTCAGACATTATCGCACACTCTCAGGCTCACAGGAGGAGAAAAAATTCAAGTGAACGCGGGTGTAATGCATAGATTAACTTCGTAATTCATTTTTTTGTAATTACAGGTAGGCATTAATGCATAACCGGTTGCGCTTGAAAAAATTAGTGAGCATATTTAGGCTAATTGTTCGTAGTTATTTAGAAATTTTCTCGCAGCTTGATATTTTTTGCTCATAGATGCAAAAAGAGAATAAGAATATAAGAGAATGAGAATGAGAATGAATGAGAATGAGATAGAGAGAGAGAGAGAGAGAGAGAGAGAGAGAGAGAGAGATAGAGAAAGAAAGTGAGAGGGTGGGAGAGGGTGGGAGAGGGTGGGAGAAGAACAAGCAATCCACCACGCGCGTATCGATCACCAAAGGGTATCGCTTTTAATTGTTGCTCCCGCGAACCTAATAATTTTTTAAGAGCTCAAGGAGCAGCTTGGCTGAGTCGTCAATCAAGTAGCCGTAAATTCGAAGGTAAGTTGCATACTCTTCATCAATTATCAATCGTGGCTTATTTCACTTCTGCGTCTGTAGTCATGGTTGGCTGTTCTCTCCCTCCCACCCTTACTCTAACTCTCTTCTAAAATAGCTGGGATTACTTGTTGACTCGTGGCGCTGACGGATTGCACTTGCCGTATCTACTGGTGTAGGATGAGAAGTTCGTAGAAATGGTCCAGCGCCACATTGTTCCTCTTGTTAACACATTGTGAAAGTGATATTGATTTAGAAAGACCTACTACACCCATCGTCTAAAAATAAAATCGTGGACATTTATTATCCTTATTGTTATTTAAGGTAAGTAAGTAGTGTAATGGTGTGATTATCCAGTGTCGGTGATTCTTTTGTGCTGCAATTTCGACATCGAATGTAAGCAAAATCGAGTGTAAGGTGGATACTTTAATTCAGCTGTTAATCAATTGTTAATGCGAGATTAAGTTCATTCTTGTTTGCTTAGTGGTCAATACATGCCAGTTCTCGTAGAAATTAATTCTTAAATATGCAATTTAAATTTAATGTTGGAAATCGATTTTCTATATAAATGATATATTTGTAGTTCATCAAGTGATGTGAAGTGCAGGAACGAGCATTGATAATTAATACAATATTTCTTATTCATAATTGTTAATTGCTCGTTATAAAATTCATAATAAGAGAATAATGTAAACATTACACGATAGGGGGTGGAAAAAAGTTTTCACATTAATCTTTAATCCTCGTTTATTTACTTCAATTTTTTTTTTATTACAAATAATTTTTGGCTAATAACTTTATCTATTTTTTTTTTTTTTTTTTTTTTTAATAAATAAATAAACTATCGTGTATATAAACTATATACATAATAAATGATATTTACACACACACGCGCGCGGGCACGCACACATATAGAATAGTAATTTTTAAATTAACAATGTTACAAGTGATTCAGTTGCAATAATTTTCTTTAACAAAATAATTAATAATATTTATATATTCTATTCTATAATTACATATGATTTTTAATTAATACATTATAATTATCAAAGTTATTGATTTTTAAGTAACAGTCATTTTAAAATTATTATTACAAATAACTTATTTTAGTATAGTTTTAAGTACGGATTTATCTACATATTGAACAAAAATTTGATAAAATATCTTTTATATATTACCATTTCTCTGTATATCTCTATATTTAATGAAATAATGAGAAATTAGTTGTAGTATTCTGAAATATAGGAAATATTTAAAATATTAATTTGAATGCGTGAATGGGTAAGGTTATATTCAATTTGTATTATAATAAGTTTATGTATTTAATTAATCCATTAAGAAATAAAATAATAAAAATAATAATAATAATATTTCTATTTTAAAACTATTGAATAATTTTATTTTAATATTTCTTTTAATTCGTCTAAAGTTAACTTGAAGAAATTAAATTTTTTATTAGACGAACGATTGAGAGGCCACAATTATTTTGAAAGTCCTACATTGCACTTTTCTATTCTCAGATATGTTGTTTAAAAATATTACACCTTGAATTTTACAGTTACCTATAAAAATTAACTTTCTATTTTATTTAAATTAAATTAAGTGTTCGTTATTTTTACAAGTATATAAAAGACCGTAAAATATTTACTTTTGATATAATGCATTTAAAAGCTGTTATGATCTTAAATAATTGCATAATGTATAATTAAAGGTGAATGTTGTTTGAAACTTCAATGTGTCTAGTAAATTTAATGGATAGAGCAGTGTGGTAAACATGCGAAAATTCTTATATATAATTGTAAATGATCTAAAGGAATATGTATTTTGTTTGTGTCGTAGGTTAAGAAAATTAGAAGTACACGGATTAAAAGGGAAAATTACTTATCATAGAGGTTGCCACTATTCGATTAGATAAGTCATGTCGGATCAGGAAGCTGGTAACGATACAACAACGCCGAATGTCATTGAACTGAATGTTGGTGGAGTTTTCTATACTACAAACCTGAGTACATTGACACGCGAAGCAGATTCAAATCTGGCAAACATCTTTAAAGAGAAATCATGCTTAGAGAGGGATGCAAAAGGCAAATACTTTCTTGATCGCGACGGCGTTCTTTTTCGATATGTATTGGACTTTTTACGCAATCAGGCTCTCGTGCTTCCCGAGGGCTTTCGGGAACGTGAGCGATTGCGACTGGAGGCTAATTTCTATGGATTAAGCAACCTCGAGAGGGCAATTTTGGAGCAAAAAGATACACTCGGTGCACAAATTACGGTTGGTATATAATAAATTGTAAATCAATATCACCTTTAAGATTCATCTTCGAGATAAATAATCGATAAGAGTTTCAAATAATAATTTAACAAAGTAGCAATAATAACGTCGTCGTAAAATCATATCATAATTTTTTAGAGTATTGTTCACTCGTTACAACATTCCAAATATTTTTTAATTAACTTTAATGAGTATTTCTGTAACTCGTTATAGAAAATTAAACGATATTTCAAATAATATTAATATTATAAAATTAGCGAAAGATCATTCATTCAATGTATACAAACCACATTCGTATGAAAACAATTTTAATCGTGCTGCTTTCAGTTATGAAATATCTCATTACATTTATCAACAATATATATATATATATATATATATATATATATATATATATGTGTGTGTGTGTATATTTAATTACTAATATTTTATTAAAAAATATTTAATATTAAACAATGTGATTGGAGTTCGGGAAGAAATAAAGTGCAACTTAAAATTTGTATTAAACAAAAATATATTAAATATTTTATGTAATAATGGTAGCTAAAAACTAATGCCATAATTAATTCGTCATAGTAATACTATTTTAAATATTTTAGAAGCAAAAAAAAAAAAAAACAACACAATGTAATGCTAATTTTAGTATATATAAAAAATAAAAATCTTCAGACTTTTGAGTACAAATTCAGCGCAAACTTTACCTTCGATCATTACCTTTAACTTTACCTTTGCTTTATCATCATAGAATTAATATTAAAATGTTATTTAAAATGTATTAACATATATAATTAATACAGGAATTATAATAAATATATAAATTAATATTAAATAATAATCTATTTAAACAATAATGTATACGTCATGAACAATGAACAACTAATATATTTAATTTTTAATATATAATTCACTCGTTTCATTAAGACATAAATATATATTTACCAATTATTGTTAACAAAAGAAAATGTTATCATAAAATTTTTTTATTTACATAAATTATACAAATTATAATTTGAACAATTTTTACCAGAACTTTGAAAATGAGGATGAATTGAAATTATAGTATTCGTGATTACTTTGCTAAGCAAAAAAGGTGTGTAAAACGAAGCTTAAATATAATTAATTTTCATATATATATATATACATTCGATGAAAATTCACAACAAATATCTTTTATAATTAAAAATCAAAATAAATTTTTATTAACGTAGACAATGATATTGAATCTAAACACATATTTTCATTACACAATACGATAATGTTGATGATAAAAGAAAAAAACATTAAAATGACTTACTTATTGTAATTTTTAATGTAAAGTAATTTATTTTATACCTATTAATATTATTATAAACAATTAATATTTTAAATTTTTATAATTTTGTATCGATGAGTCTTTTCATTAATGATTTAGTAAGAAAATCCAATTTACGATATTATCTAGTATCGATTATTCTTTTTTTTTTTTATTATCAATATGTAATTATAGAAATCCAGGTACAATTAATGAAATCTATGTAATCCTTAAGTCTGAGAAGCTTTTAGATCTATACGTGCATGCCTGTAAGCTTATAAATTAGAAAAATATTAATAATTTTGAGATGGAAGATTCACGGAGTAAAGAATTACTCGAACAAGTATAATTGAATAAAAAGATGTAAAACTTTTTTTCTCCAGATGGCTTACTGGACTTGTTCTATTTTATATATTATTATTATTATTATTGTTGTAGTAGTAGTAGTAGTAGTAGTAGTAGTAGTAGTAGTAGTAGTATTAATGATATATTATTAATTATATTATTATATATTGCTATTATTATTCTACTTTATATATGTAGATGTAAGTGATTTACTAAAGTACCAAGAAGAGTTTTTATTTTCTATTGTCATTATTTATAAAAATTACAACTGTAGTAAAAGTTGCGTTTGTGGAATTCTTTCATTACTTTCTCATTGTTTTACACCTTACGTTTACAGCACATTTTGTGTTTAATAATAATTTGAAAAATTACGTTAATAAAATAAACTTTTTCGTTTTACGTAAATATAGAAAGTACAATCGTACATTATTTTTGTTCATTTCATCATTAGCGTACTAATAAATATTAATAATTTATCTTCCATACGTAATAATTTAATGTAATAATATTTTAATAAAAAATTAATTCTAGGGCGGCAAAATTAATAATTAAAGTAGTAATTTGTGTAAATTTATATAAATTAAACTACAAAATAGTAAATTTAATAATGGAATTAAAATTAAGTTGTGTATTGTTCTGTAGATAAAAATTTAAATACAATATCATTATTAAATATCATAATAACTTCATATTTAATACCTTAGATTAATTTTCATGCATTTTTTTTTTCACTAAGATTTTGCAATTATTTTCTATTTTGATAGCATACTACAATGTATATAGAAATTTTTGTAGCTTTAAGAGGTGAAAATAATGAAATTACAATGCAAATTTTACATTTATAAAAAAAATAAATATATACTAGATAGATGCTTGACTTTTACCTATTGAAAGCTTTCGCTAGAATAAGAAAATTGTGAATATGATGGAAATATTAAAATTTTAAGATGAAAAATTTATATTGTAAAACTCTATAAAAAAAATTTCGTAAGAAGTTTTTGGAAGTTCCGAGTTTTTGCAAAATGCAAATTTTTACTGTCGGATAATAGTTACAGAGGAAGATTGCAGAAGAAAACGATGAGTCTACGTTCAGAAGATAATCTTTGAGTATTTGTAAAATATAAATATTTTTGATTTATTATATATTGAGATAGATTATTTCTAAAAATATAAATAAGAAAAATTATTCAACACGAGATTTTAAAAAATTAGACATTATTATCTAAATTTAGTTTATTAAATGTTATATTATAATTATTTGAATGTGATACTATAAATCAAATTATAAGGCGAAAGACTTAAAATGGATTAAAGTAAAGCTAAATAGTAAATAAGAGAATATGGGGATTCACAACAAAAACAAAAACAAAAAAAAAAAAAAAAACAAAAAAAACAGAAAACAAAACAAGAGAAAAATCAGAATAAATAATTAGATTTATAATTGAATTATTGAATCATAAAATTAAAAATTTTGTAGGATAATCAATAAGTAATATATCTGAAAAGTGATATTAATGAATTAATCGAGTATCACGTATTTATAATACATATTACATCATATTTCTATAGTGTGAAACTTAAATTTTTTAAATAAAAATGAAATTTTCACTATATAGTTATACTATGAAATATATATGTTAACTAATTGTTTCTTATTGATCTTTTATTCGTCTATTCAATATTATTTCCTTTATAATTTGTAATTTGTAATGAAAGCCCCATTTTTTTTTTTTTTTTTTTTTTTTTTTTTTTTTTTTTTTTTCGTTCGTTACGGTCAAGACACTTGGAAATTCAATTTTTCAATAAATAAAATGAAAAATTTGCTTCATTTATTTGCTAATGTTTTGAATTGTCATCGCAAAACAACATCGATGTAATTAATATAATATAAGTACAACGTTACACGATTGCCGTTAATTACAACGGATCAACGATTATAAGCTCAACGACTTGTTCCATAAGCATAAAGCATAAAACGAGAAAATACTTTACTTGTTTGCAGATGTCACAGCGGCGTGGTTACATCACCGTAGGTTACAGGGGCAGTTTTGCCTTTGGTCGCGAAGGCTTAGCTGACGTTAAGTTTCGTAAGCTGTCGCGCATCCTCGTATGCGGTCGTGTAGCCCTCTGTCGTGACGTGTTCGGTGAGACACTGAACGAGAGTCGTGATCCAGATCACGGCATGTCCGACCGATACACATCACGCTTTTTCCTTAAACACAGCTTCATTGAGCAGGCTTTCGATATGCTACAAGAGCAGGGCTTTAAGCTTCTAGCGGGATGTGGTTCCGGTACCGCTGGTGGCAGTAATGCTGAACTTAAGCCTGGAGTCGATTTTGAAGAGAATCGCTGGAATCACTATAACGAATTTATTTTCGCGCGCGACTAAATTTATAGACAATTCTGTTGGCCAACGTAACTCATCTGCGCTTAAGAGGACGTGTTTTTTCTTTGGTTGACATTTGCTTTACGTTTTCGCTTCATTAATATGAATTATGTAAATTATGTATAAAGAATTTTGCATGGTTGCTTCTATTTTACCTCAATTAAGTATCATTATACATTCCCTATTTTACGTACATTTAATTCGAGGTATGCTTTTATGTGGGCGTGCGCGCGCGCGTATAATAGGTAACTCTTGGTCCGTCGAAATAAAACATACGAGATAAAAATGATCGACATCTTTGACTCTGGTATTCGAATACTGAAATAATAGTGAGAATATTTATTCTTTATAGATGCACAATAATTTTCTGAAATGTAATTATTTATATATAGTGTCATATGGAGAGTTGGGCTACGAATTGCTTGCGGATTGTTACGGAAATGCTGCGAACAACAATCACAAAATTGTCATCGGATATAAGGGTATTATAAAAAAAAGAATATGGCATAAAAAAAAAAAAATATGTACAACATATGTATCGATAGCAATGTGAATCAATTCTTCAAAAAAAAAATCGAATACTGATTATTAGATCGAGAACTTTATGCAGTATATAGAAATATATACGGCTGATTGGATTATGTATATTTACACGTAAGTATGAAGATAAACAATTTCGAGCAAAATTTTTTTGCTTACACTTACAAAAATACGTACGCGTATACATTGCACATGTATGTTCAAATACGATAATTTACCTATGTACAATTAATGCAGGGATAGAGGAAGTAGAAAAAAAAAAGTAGAGACAATTTTTTAGATGCTTCGGAAGCTTCAAACACGTGCATGTAATAAGGTAAACTCAGAAATTTTCCTATACTCATTTAACAAACGTCTATTCAGCATTACGGATATTAAATTTAAGAATGTGGAGGGGGAATGATAGAAAGAAACGAATGAAATAAGAATTTTTGTTGCTTGAATCAATGATTTTAGGCATTTTGAAAGAAAATTACGAGCTTATACCAATGCTAAAGATATGAGTGAACTTATAACAGATTCAGCCTATTGATAAATTATGATTTTAGTTGATTTTATCAAAAAATAATTGTTGCAATAATTGTAAATACATTTTTCTTTTTAATTATTACAAATAATGAATATTTATATGAATAAATATTAATGATTTTTAATGACATGTACTTATTATGATGTTAATGTAATTAATATTAATTCGACAAAAGATATTACTTTTTCGTCAATCACAATTAGGAGAAAAGTAATTATTATTAAAAAATCAAAATTTCAGAAAATAGTTTGGAAATTATTTATTAAGGAGCACTTGACATTCGTAGAGTATTCACAGTATTTAAAATATTTATTCATAAATTACACAAATGAAAATTTCATCCTATTGTGTACATTAATTTGATTTTTTAATAATTGACAATTTCGTTGAATTTGATGCTTTACTTTATTACACTCCGTGATGATGATTATTTATTATAAAAATCATAAGCAGAATTTATCATTGTATTATTGAATAATCAAGAGAATTATCTATATTATCAGGAATAAAAAATTTGTACAGACTTTCCATATATATTATTATATATTATATATTTTATATATGTATTATACACATAATTTATATCGATTTTATGTTTTATAGATTCGTGAAAAAGTATAGTAAATATCATCTCAGTTTTTATTTCGTCACTTTAATGTATATTATGTAATTTTATTGCAAATATTAATTTATCGATAAAAAAAAATTTTCAGCAACAATATTTCAATAATAACAAGATTTTCATGTGATTTTTATGTAAATTTTTTATCTTTTTTGACTAATTATCTTATAAGTAATTATTATTACGATAGTTTATTATAACAATTTTATAATTAAACTACATTAATTACATATTTTATTTTTGTTTCGCTTATATTATATATTTATTTTGTTTATTAATCAGAATTGAAATAAATCGTATTTTATGAGTCATTAGTTATAATAAAACTATGATAATATTACATAAAAAATATTTTCATTATCCAATTATTGATGAATTATAAATATATGAAAAGAAATATTTTTTATATTAGACACTAAACATTTTGTTTTTTTTGACGATGGATGCTTTTTTTCATTCATAAACAGTGTACTAGTAAAGTAAAAACTTAAAAAGTTTCACCAATTATTTCATGAGCACAGATTTCTTTATTAGTTATTTGGTATTAAAAAAAAAAAAAAAAAAAAAAAAAAAAGATAAAAAAAAACACAAAATAATAAATGTAAACTAGAAGTTAAAACTATCTATTGAATAGATTCTTTTTTAAAATTGTATAACACTAAATTTGTTGTCACCGTAATGCATTTTTTACAGTTTATATAATCACAATCTATATGTAAATTGGAGAAAAAAATAAATTGGAGAAAAAAAAACATTTTATTGTCATTGTCATGGAAAGGTTCATTTGATGGTGTAAAGAGAGAAAATAGTAGTAACGTAAATAAAGTAATAATTTTCTAAAAATGTATAAAAGAATGAAACCAATGAATATTTAATTTAGATAAATGCATATTATTAATATTTATTTACAGAATACAAATTATATAAAAAAAAACTCATAATCAAAAATTACAATTAATATGGGAATAATTAATCGAAATAATTTGTTTGTATTAAGTATTTAAATTCCCAAAGAATTACAAAATATTATAATACAGAAATTAAATACATGTATTTGTACAAAGTATAATAATACATAAAGTAATACTTGAAAATAAAGAATATAATAAGCAATTAAACCTTAATTTGAAAATAGTGAATTCAAATATGTATGCTGTACTAATTTTTTCAAACTGTTAAATAATTTATTTCCAATAAATAATTAGAATTTACTTTTTAAACGCGCGCAACAACTCATTTAACAAATTTTATGTATTTTTCATAAAATTATTATGTTAATAGTTTAACGATCTTTTTAACTCATTTAACAACAATTACATCATTTATTATGCATTACATTTATATATTGTTGGCATTTCTTTTCTCCTATACCTGTAATCTGTACAAATACAATTATATATCTATACACTGAAAGAACAATGATATACATTAAAGTTTGCATCTTCCATTAAATAATAACAATTTTAATAAAAAATGAACATTATTATTTACTTTTATACAATTTAATAAAAATCTAATAAATGTATTGGGAAATTATATGTTTCATGAATTTTATTATTACTTGCTTCGATACATTCAGATTTTTTAACGCTCAATCAACTTAAATTTTTTCAGTTAGAATAAATTAAATTATTGTTGATGAAATTTATTTAAGTATTATCGAGATATTTGAGAAGGTTTATATGTTAAAAATGTTATTCCTGAACAATTATATACTTTTCACTATTGATAATATGCAAAATTATTATTTGCCGAAAGTATTAATAATTTATATTAGCACTAACAATTATAATTACACATTAATAATTTAATCGCGATCAAACGAATTGAGAAAACGAAAATTTAAATAATATTTAGAATAATTTAAACTGATTTCAGTTTTAACATTATTATGTAATTGTGATGTAATACAGTAAATATTTTACTATAAAACTATATTTTACTTATTGATATAAATTTGATAAAAAAAAAATTAATAAAAAAGAGATAAAAATATTGTTGATGGAATATGAGTTGAATAAGTAACTTAAGATGTTTAAGTTTTAAACACAGTTAACATTATAATATTATTTAAAAATATTACTTACAAACTATTATAAAATTTATACAGCATTGAGTTACGTAACAATTAATAATATCATGTGAAATATTATGTATTTACATAAGTTTAATAATTCCAATCAATAATAAAATTAATAAATTGTAATAATAACGGGAACTGAGTCAATGAACAGAATAAAAGATTTTAAAAATTAATCAAAATTTTTTTTTCATCGTGTTCGTGTGTAATATTGGAAATTGCAAATAAATTTAGCCTATTAAATAATCCAAAATTCCATATGTTCAGGTTGGAGCGATAAACTTGACTACGTCTTTTCTTATATAAATACAAAGACCTATAAAAACTTTAAAAAGAAAGAAAATGAGAAAAGTTTAATAATAAAGAGCGAGAGAGAGAGAGAGAGAGAGAGAGAGAGAGAGAGAGAGAGAGACTTACACACAAAGGAAAAGGTGAAAAAATAGTTAGAGAAGAAAAAAGGTAACCTACTCGTATAACAAGAAAATAACATAATTTATAAAAAGTTATACATATTGTTTTCATCTACTTAATTAACATAAATATTATTTGTGTGGTTATTTAAAGATAAAAATTGAGCTGCGCGTATCGGTTGAAATAATGCAAACATTCATTAGACATTTAATTTTATATAAAATAATTCATAGTTGTTATACATATACATATATATTTATTGATTTTAACATTTAATTGCAGAATAAACTAGATATTATGAAAAATTAAACACACCCGAAATGAATGCATTTGTAACAAAGAGCTTTTTATTATAGATGAATTTATAAATGTGAACAATTTTTTATTGAAAATTAACATTGTTTCATAACGATTTGAATTCATCGTAAAATTTGTTTTCTCTATTTCTATAATTTATTCGATTATCGTGGTGTATGATTTTAATTTGATAAATTTTTCATAGTATTTTGTTAGCTTAAAGTCTAATATTATAATTGCAAATAATATCAAAGTTCTATACATAGAAATTTATTTATTCAGTTCCTTTGTTCATATGTATTCGACCTTTGATCTTTTAAATAACATAATTTCCCTATAATTATATTGGTTATTTTCTCGCTTTTATATCGTTATTATTCATTCGATATCCTTAAATATATACAGTGTTTACTCTTTCTTAGATATAGTATAATTTAAATTTAAAAGAGAATTCTTAAATTTGAATTTGAACTTAAATGAATTTAGAACAAATCATTAAAATAAATAATAATAGACATTTCTCTAAAATAAAATTTAAACTTTCTAAAGTTTGATTATTTGTAAAACATTTGTAAAG